GTGACTGGCCGTGTTGAACATCGGCTTTAGAATCGGTCTCTGTTTCTTGCGGCATCGAGCAGTTACGACCAGCATCCGTGACTGCCATGTTTTTGTCTCAATCTATCAACCCCATAATCTCCTTAGAATTAGCATTTGACCGCCTGTTAACCTGCCGCGTCAGCTCGAAGAACGCGAAACTTTCGGTGGTCATGAATTGAACTCTGGCGAATGCCACAAAGAAAGAAGCGACGTACGCTTTTCTTCAGGTGCCTTCCTGCGTAATTAGCCATTACCCACGTTGTAATCAACTGATTTTTACGCGAAACCTCAGTGCTGAATGATGAACTGATGGTGACTGCTAGCCTAGGTATTCAGGCATGATGCAGTGGTCCAGACAAAATATAACGGCCATCAGTTGCTCTGATTTTGCTCTTCACTGAACCACTCGTTGGATGGACAGTAAACTTTACTGTGACTGCTTCTAGTCGTTGATGTTGTATTGGTCGACAAGATGTCACAGCTGTCAGCTGTCTGAAATCAAATGTAGGCACAAAGTACAGGAAAAACCTAGGACTATATGGCAGTCATGGATTAGAATGACAACAGCAGGTGTTTGTTACGTTAATATGAGACCACTTCACTTAATCGTTGGCAGGATGATATTCCCTCATAAGGGAAGTCACCAAATCACTAGGACATCCATTCACGGAAGCCTGAAAACGTACATAATCATTCACAAATGACGCTACCGTTATTCAAGACTCGCATCAGGCATTGCGCCAGCATTTGGTCTGACTACCGTATGATCATACCTACTCGGCGATGAAGCGGCGTTGTCGCCCTACGAAACGAAGGTAGAGTGTGACCTCTATGCCCTCCTCCGTAGCGTCAATTCGGAGAGTAGCAACATTGATTATGCGTAAAGAGACAACACCACGTTGCACCCTCGAAAGCAGCCCATCGCCATCTCATTCGCCCATTAAACTAGAACTACGGGCGGGATAAGGAACTCTGGTTGCAGTGGAAATCTGGAAAATCGATAAGACACAGACAAACTGCCCGGCGAACAGTGTTCAAAAGCGTTCAACAATTGTTCGGTAAGTTAGGGACTCGGGCCTTCATTTCCCAAGGCGTTAAGGGTCTCTTAATAGGTAAGGCGGAGTGGATTTGCAGAAGCTGCTCGGCACCTGTCCTCTAGATTTGTCATTTGCGATCGTAAATTGTCTGTCAGTGCTAGTGGTTAGTTCAGGCTCATCTACAAAAGTATAAATCTAGAAACCATAGCTATATGTCAAGGTGAAGTAGGTTTACTGCGTGGACCAGATTCCGGGTTTTTTCATTAATAAGGAAAGAGTGTTATGATAGAAATGCTTAAATCGTAAATTCATCAAATAAAAACCTCAAAGTCTTCGCTTGAGAGTAGAAATATCGGATACTTCCTTGTATTTACAGAGCGTCAAGCGACAGGATGTTCTAATTATTATGACATCAGAACAGACTTTGATATGGTTTCGATCAGATATCATAAATTTTTGAACATTACGTTTAACATATGACTTTGGCTTTCTTTGATTTACCAGCTTGGTGCTTGAAGATGTAGAATATTTCAGGGTGTTTTCTTCCTCATATTTGAATCCAGGCAGCAGTAAGCAATATTTATACTGCCTGAAATCAAAATGCAGTCAAGGTCCAAAGCTTGATCATGGAGTGACTTTTGTGGGTAAATTGGATATGATGTGGAGGGCATTAATGGGCGAGCTGGGTCGACTTCAGACAAGCCAATTGCAGAGAATGGTATGGACTGCAATCGTTCTCGCTGTTATGCTTATATCAGTTGTTATCTGTCTAGGTAACGGGTTATGGTGATTTGCGACTTCTCGTGAAGGCCATTCCAAGCGTTGTGAAGCTATTCACCCCATTTGATGTGATTTGCACATTGCAGAATTGCTGGTATTTTGGCGTTTTCTTTCAATTTTAGTCAATGATTCACTTTCTTAGCGATCGTAATTTGGACCTGACGTTGACACTTGACAACTCTCTACAACCTGGTCTTATATGGGACAGCATTTCCGGAGTCAAGCTGGAAGAGCTAACCGCAAACAAAATAATTGAAATCAGTCTTTCCGTCATTCCAACAATGTTGGGTCTTCAGGTATGTTTTCCATACGGATGTGACAGTCTTACTCCATACGGAGGATTGAATAATTTCGATATACATAGGTATATAACATTTTTTCTCTGAATTTTGTCTTGACTATTCCAACGATGATGTAGCTTTTCTCTCTGTTTTCGGTATCATCCATAGGGCATATTCCAGACAATCTGTTCTTTTCGCTCATGAATTAGTCAGCCACCAGTCAAAGGGTAGACGGCCTGAAGGGACTTCACCATCCTCTCGCTGAGACTTTATACGAATGGGGGTTAAAAATTTTTTGTTCTCGTTTATAATTGCTTGTTTAGCCTTGTTTCATTTCATAACTAATCAGGCAGTACATTTATTGTCAATTGCTAGCGTGAGAATAAAAAGAAAATCTGAGATGCAATAGCTAATCAGTTTTTCTTCAGTAGGTCAGAGTTGTGATAATTTGAGCACAGTGTCAGTATACCAGATGCGACAATTGTATTGGGGCATTTTTCGCTAAGCATGTTGTCGGTCGATGGACAGCACAGAGCCAGGTGGCTGGACATCTGAATGAGGCCTTAGTTGAGATTGCTCCATTTTCAGAGAATTGCGGTAATTGTAGAAACTTACCAATGACATTCCTACGCAAGACAAATTTCACCTTATGAATGGAGATAGACGTTAAATGGCACAGCTGAAGTTTGTTTTTTTTGATCATTGGTGAAGGTCAGTGAACAATGCAGATGTTCAACACTTACAATTACTCATTGTTTCGCAACGCAATCCTAGTATTTTCTGGGCACATCTGTTATATGGCAACCAGAAAACGTTTTTATATGTGCATAATGTATAACGCGAGTGAAGATTAACACCAGATTTGGAAAAATACGTTCGTTAATAACGACGTCTGTCTCTGTGTTCGATGTTGTAAACAACATTCAAGGTCTTTTCCATGGTGCTCAGTTTTTTGATTGCATCCGCAGACTCGTCCTGGTAGACTGTAAACACCATATTGTCGAGGATCTTCTGATTAGATTGATACCTG